TTTCACAGCGATCCACAACCACAATTTCTACAGTTGTCTCAGACATGTATCCCTGTTACAAAATGATAGATTCACTTTGCCAAACCACCTGGAGCTGCACCTGGAGCTGCTGATCAGCTCCAGGTGACTACCAAAATAAAGGACATTTACTATCATTACGATGACAAGTTGTCACAGCAGCTAGATTTTTACAAGAGTGGTGACTCAGAAAGGATTTATGTTCATTGGCATTTTCCGTTCCCACAAAAGGACTCAATAAAAACATACAGCATGTTTGGAATATGCACCAAACAGCACTTCAGTGAGGCAAACAAGCAGTCAGGAGGAGATGCTTGTGGCATTTGCCACACAGTAGTGACTCATACACCCATTTAACTTTTTTTCCCAGTGCTCAGTCGGCCAGAAAGTCTTCTTTTCACCATATTGCCCATAAAAGTGCCTTTTAGGTGTAATAAGAGGTTTGTGCACTTCACCGCGGTATCCCTTTCAGTGAAGTTCTCATGCTGGATGAAACTGTCTGCTCAGGCTTAAGATTTAATTTTACAGCTAAGTGCCCCTGACGGTTTTCTGTGAATATCAAACTAATTCCACCGGACATTTAACGACATGGCTGCTGAATATGCACACATTTCCACAGACGTCTCTCTTTGATGATGTCCTTTCTTCTGACTTGTAACCGCTAGATCTTCCGGTTGAGCATTCTTGATGAATACATTTTCTTCTACACCAGCTACAACAGCCATTGAAAAAAGTCATTCACATTTCCTTTTAAAGCCTGGCATTTTTCCCCAGGATGTAAGCATAATATAATGTGAATATCCAAAGTATACAGATGCTGAAGATTAGCTTGGTTTTGTAAAACACCTGTGGCAACCTTACTAGCTCTTATGCCAAATATATTCTTATAAAACAGATCTCTGAGTTCCATTTTAAATTAAAGGTCCAGTGTGTTGGAGTTAGGGGGATATACCGGCCGAGATGGAATATAATAATATTAAGTATGTTTTCTTTAGTATATAATCACCCAAAGATAAGTATCATAGTGTTTTTGTGACTTTAGAATGGGCTATTTGTATCTACATAGGGAGTGGGTCCTGGTCTACAGGGATCACCATGATGCACAGCCATTTTTCTACAGTAGCCCAGGGCGGACAAACTAAACACTGCCTCTAGATAGGACCATTTGCTTTTTTGCATTGGCCACTATGGTTAGCAGCCTCTCCATGACAAGCAGTGTCAAAAAACCCGGATTGTTTCATGTCAAACTGCCTTGATCAGTGTTTCTACTGGTTTAAATCACTGTGTCTGTTTGTTTCTGCAAATAATTCAGCTCCTGCTAAAAAGCTCCCGAATGTCTGGATCTTAAGTTATCAGAGAAAAAAGGTGAGCACACATTAGCAGCTAGGCTAGTGGCCTGTCTAAGACAAGCCAAACAGTGTCTGACAAACACTAATTTGTAATGTGAAACTCTTTTATTCTGTGTTTTTGCACATTTAAATTACATTGTCCTTTTTTTTTTTTTTTGGAGAAGATAATTCAGCTCATGGTAAAAACCTCCTAAACATCTGGATCAGAAAAAGGTGAGCACACATTATGTTATGTGAGAAAAAAGGTGAGTACACATGAGCAGGTGCCGGGCTAACAGTCGGTCTGCAATGATGAGCCAAACAGCAGAGGAGAAACACTGATTTTTAATGTGAAACTGTTTTATTCAGTGTTTTTACCAGTTTTAATCACCCAGTCTATTTGTGTTGGAGGGGAAGAGACCTCTGTGGATAATTACGCTCCCAGTTAAAATCTTCTAAATGATGAAAACTGAAGGAATCCTAACTGGGAGAAGCTTCAGCCGGTTGCAAACTGCAATCCTCACCGCTAGACGCCCCTAAATCCCTGCAAATCTTACACACTACTCCTTGAATTGAGTTTACCACTGATACATGCCTTTTTGTTTGAAGAAAAAAAATATGCTGAAATGTTGATCTGTAGCATTTGAAACAAAAAGACTGCGTTGGACTTCAGAGTGTGTGCACCTTCTCTCTGTTTTATACCCATGTCTGCCTTTTGAGGGCACCCTCCTGGATTTGCTAGTTGATGACTTTTGTTCTCTGTGAGGATAAACTGGATTATTTGGGGAGGGGCAGGTTCATCCCAGGTCTGACCTGTCTCTGAACTGGGATGCAATTAATAATTACAATTTATAGGATTATGATTTATTGGCCCTCACTGTCATTTCAGTTGCCAATGTGCAACATGCAGTCTCCAGCTTTTATTGCAGAAAACCACATCTGTTTGAAGGCACGTGCTTTCAATTTGCTTTGTATCCACCATTTTCCCTAAATGTTGCCTTTCTTGTGGCAGCTATTTTCTCTGTTAGGAAAGCTGACAGTAATCTCCTCACAAAAGAAAAAATATCTGGTGAAGGTCATAGTGGTTATTGGGTGCTCTATTGGGAAACCCTGGAAACTGTAGGCTTATTTCAGAGGTTTAATTATCTTTAGGTAAACGTCTAACGCTTTGATGTTTGGCACAAAAGAAGAAACAAATGGGGTAAAACTGCCAAATCCGCACCAAGAGAGACGGAGCAGCTGGCCTGGGTGGATGGAGTGGATTAGAAATTTTACAGAATCTTCAGATGTGGTGACAGTGTGGTTTTGAATCCTCTCTGCTCCTCTGCAGCAGTGTTTGTCATTTCTGGCCACAGTCAAAGGTTTAAAAAAGCCACAGACGCTGCTTCCGCTCTCGAGGCAAACAGGCGAAACCAACCAACCTTCTCATTATTTAAACCTCCTCTCCAGTCTTTTCACCATCAATTTAAATAATTTCAAACACATTTCTCAAATCTATCAATGGTTTATGAGGCAAAACAAGAGCAGCCGTTTTGCAGCTAACAAGAATCGACACAACTGTGCGACATTTGCCCCAATTGTCCTTTTACAGACAGGAAACTTTTTTTCAAATGAGGACTGGAACTGATGGGAATAATAAAACACCCACTAGTAAGATGACATTGTGAGTACAGTATGAATTCATGAGAAGAGATTTATATTGATACCAATAACAATTATATTAGTCTCATTGAAAATTGTGGGAGATTGTTTAGTATTATATTGCCAACAGAAATGATTTACTGGTCTCTCTTTGCAGTGTTTCAGGGCATGAGCCCCTGCTGTTGCTTTGAATTTGAATTTTGTTATCAGTGAAGTGACAAGTTGAGCACAAGACTGCTATGTGTTGTGATGTGCCATAGCATCAGCGAAACAATTAGTTGTCTGTCTCAAGGGACTGCCATACAGTATGCAATCAACACTTTCAACACTGCGTGTGCTGATGATTTGAAGTGACTGCTGAGGGCCAGTAACTGAAAATTACATGGCAAAGATACCCGAGGAGACACTGATTTTTGCGTCTTATGACATTGCTGTAAAAGCATACAAATACTTTATTAATCCCCATGGGGAGATTGTGATACCTTAAAGTCACTCTGATATAAAGCGTAGAGAATTATAGAAGTAGAAATAAGAAGTATAAAGTATGTCAAAATGTAAAAATAAAATATGTACATTATGCTCTAGTGTTAACACAAGTATGTAAAACTTTGAAAATTTTAAAATGTGCTTAATGTGCTGAGTATGTAAAGTGTGTAAAAAATATAAAAATATGTGCCTTTTGCTACATTACAATGTATTAAAGTCGTAGGTAAAGTTAGTAATGTAAAAGTATGCATATAATGCTACAATGTACAACACATTATACGCATAAGTACAAATAAGATGAAATGTATAAATATACAATACATGCAACATATGTTAAATATACATTCAAGAGTGGGAAGAATATTGAACAGTTAAATAAGTGGACAACATTTTGCTACAAGTGAATTATTTCACCAGTTAAATAATTATTGTTTCTTTAAGTCTTTATTGCACAGTTGAAATATAATAAAGAAATTAGGAATTATAACTGCTGATGGGTGACTTAAGTCCAAGTGCCAGTCTGTTGACTCAGAGTGTCTGACATGCTGAGGGAGTTGTTAGGTTTGACGGCCACATGCAGGAATGACTTCCTGTGGCGCTCTGTGGTGCACCTCAGAGGACTGAGTCTATCACTGAATATACTTCTGTGTTTGACCAGCACAGCATGGAGTGAGTGGGAGACATTGTCCAGCATGACACACATCCTAGACAGCATCCTTACAGACACATGATATCCTTAAGGTTGACAGGCATTCAGTATTTCACATTTAGTTTGAGGAAATTCATGTGCCACTTGTTAACTGCCCTGACGAGGAGGTCAGACCATCAGAAAGCTCTTCTCCTTTTCATTTTTCATTATGAAATCACCAATATGCAACTTGTATGCTTGGGTAAGTTATTGCCTGAGGGGCTGTGGTGTTTGTCTCCATCTGTGGGAGAACAGAGAGACATGCAGGATGAACCGTGATGGTGTGGATGGATAGAGAAAAACAACACAGCTCACACAGCTATAATATGTGGTTCAGGAGTTAAATGTTTCTCAGCACGAAGCAGCACTGCTCTGGAAACATTTAGGTCTGTTTTAAATACGAATTAAGGGACTGTTTGTTGTTTATGAGGGGGTGGTGCAGAAAGGAGGAGGCATGTCAAATAATTGTTTAAGCACTGGGGAGGGACTTCTGTTTTTTATTTTGGCTTAGGGGAGGGATGCACAAACTTCATTGTTTCTATTTTGTATTATTTCACCACTGATTTTAAAAGACAACTTTAAAAGTCTAATAACGAATTCATGGTGGAGGGAGGGTCATGCATTTTCTGTCAGTCCCTCAGGGTAGGTCACACCCCAGCCCCACCCTCCTCTGACAAGTAAAGAGCAGTCCCTGACTACAATGACCTGTAGGTTAGGGTAAAATTTGATTTACTTATTGAAATAAATCTGTTACTCAGTGATATATTGTTGTGTTAATATCATTAACATTTTAAAGAAGCTTATATAGTATGAACGCTTATATTTTGCAAGGCGGAACTGTTGTGTTGATGCTTGTGGGGAAGGATTTTCACACCGGACACGGTTGTTGCTTACATTTTTCTGAACAGGAACTGAACTGGTGAGTGTTTTCTTTAATAAATTAAGCTCTGTTGCACCGTTGTATGACCTTAACGATAGATAGGTATAATTTCGTACAATTAATTACCCTTTGTCATGCGACGGTGTGAGACAACAACGAGCGAGATACGGAAACATAGTGATTTAAAGGCCTGGACAGCTAACGTTAGCCGTACTGCGCTAACGCCGTTCAGCAACATTAATGTTAACAGTAAGCTAGCTAGGCGGCTAATGACAGCAGTGCATGAACTTCCTCAACGCTGACCGGCAGTTACTAATGTCTTCTTCATTTCTTTGTTCCTGTGTGTCTGTTATGCATCGTAGTCTTTGTCCACGGACGTCAACTCAACTCGGGCGTTGTTTGCGTGAAGTCTGAAGGAGGCAATGCAAGCTAGTGTTAGCACTAAGTTAGTTTGGTGTGTAAGCTAATGCTAAGCTAATCAATCTTAAATTACGTCATTTCACTCCTAACTGAAAATAACCCATAAGTGGCACAGCTGTCCCATACAACACCTGCTGTTATAAGCCTGGGGACGATGAAAATCATAGTATACAGAGACGTTTTATTTATTTTGAATTGTAAGCTTTAGTTACAGACTTCATGTCAACAGACCCAGGGTTAAGATGTGACGTTCAGAGGTGGATGCTGAGGATGAACCAGTGAAATATCAAACTGCGGCATTGAAATGTTGCACATCTGTGTAGATCAGTCTGCACCACAGACCCTCCTCAGAATATAGGCTGCATTTTTATGGTTTACACCAACACTTCCCCTACTTCATTTCAGAGACAAACCACCAATATGATATATACTGTGAGGTAATATTTGTCAGCAGTCAGATGTTGTGCCATAGAGGTTACCATGGCAGTTCTCCCTTTCTGAGATTGCATTAATAGACAATTGCTGACAATGTTACAAACCAGTGAGCAGGACTGCCCTATCGCAAACTTGAGTTTGGAGAACTTCAATGTGATTATTTACTTCGATTTTACATATGTGTAATTAACTTAGCAGAAATTTCTATCTTGTTATTGTACTCCGTAAATTCCAGAAAATCTAGTTTACCATTTGCACAAAATGATGTGTACCATAATAGAAGATTTAATCCATATTGCCCACTGCCATGGCTGGGTATTAAGCCCATAAACAAATGAGTACCAACAGAAATGTGTCTGTACCATTGAATAAAAACACTCAGATATTTCCTGATCAGACTATATTTAACTTGGGCGAAGTCCTTTATTTTAACACCTATCCAGTAAGGAAAAGCGGTTAAAATATGTCTGTAGTCCCCAAATAAAGTTGACACAAGCATTGTTTTGGTTGCAAAACTCACTATTGACACAGGTCAGCTATAATGATACCCAGCCCTAGTAAGCAGTGGTGCATGGTAAAACCCTTTTGACAGTCTCTGAATTATGGCTCAAACACAGATTTAAAAACCTATAACATTCTCTTTTTCTGCACCAGCAGGTGGAGGGATGAGTCTCTCCCCTGTGATTGGCACAGAAGTGCCAGAAACAGCTAACGGGGTTGTGACCCCCATCTCTTCAGAGAACGGCCCTCACATTCCAGTCTCGGTGAAATGTGGGGGGAGCAGAGTGCCCTGTCATGTAGATGTGGAAAACAGAGTTTACGATGGCGATGGCCGCTTGGACACAGAGACATACAATAATGGAAGAACATCCAGTTTACCGTTACACACCTCTAATGTGACAGACCCCTCCCTCCCTGCTGCCACATGCACAGGAGACTCTGAAGACTCAGACTCAGGCTCCAAAGACACAGACACAGACATTCATGAGGCCTCTAACACTGTTGAGCCTCCTGGTGCAGCACTGCTACGGGACTCATCACAGCAAGCACACTCCAAAGAGTCGTCTCAGCGAGGAGGCCCTGACACCACAGATACACATCAGACAGAGACAGAAACTGTAGATGGAGACACTGACAGCAGAGACGAGGAGGAAGATGGAGAGAAGGAGAAACAGGATGAGGAGGACGATGAGAAAAATGAAAAGAAGTGGATTCATCAGTGTGCAGGAGGGAGAAAAGAGGTGGAGGTGAGTGGACTGTAGGATTATATTCATCTTTATTGGGTTATGTGAGAAAGATTCAGAGAGAGTGGAGGGCATGGTGGGACTAAAAGAGAGTAACAGTCAAAGGATATAATGAGCACAATCTGAACTGAGGTCAGTGCAAGTAAATGTTGTAGATAGGACTGTCCCTGACTAAGAATTTTCCTAGTCGACCAATAGTCGTCATTTAGGGTCATTAGTCGACTAGTTGCCCACATGTTTACCATATTAATTTCATTATTTAATTATATATTTTGGGTGGGGCAACACAATGGTTTGAGTTGAAGGCGTGCGAAAAAATAGTATCAGTAACATTGTTAACACTGTGCCAGATTACAGAGAAATACAAAACTGTACTAATGAACCTTCATTAATATAGGCCTATATTTTATCTACAAGTGCACGTCACACACTGAGCAAGCCACCTGTTACACTGTTGGTGAAGCAGTAATGATTGTGCTAAGTGGCTAATGGGCATGCAGCTACTTCCATGTTTCAGATGATGCGTCATGTTTGTAGTCGACCGATGAAGATGAGTTTACATATCACCTTGGGTTCGTCCTTCACCTTCTCAAAATGATCCCACACTTTGGATTTCCTGCCCGACATGTTATTAACTAGCCTGTGGAATAACCACAGGTACCAGCCCTGGAAATTAACCTGACTCCTGTCTGACTGCTGGGCGTGGCCACTTCCTGTGTCTGTCCTTTCAAGACACCTAATAGGGTTTCACGTTTGTTTGTTGTTGTTGTTTTCTTTCTGTGACTAGGGTTGGGTTGGTATGAGAAAAAAAAAACGGTCCGGTTTTTGTAAAAAAAAACAAAAAAACGCATCAAGTCAGTAATACCGGATTTTTGCCACTTGGGGGCACAGTTGACTCATTTAAAATAAAAAACGACCTTAGGACAACAGAGTGACAGTAACAAGTTGTTTCTTTTATTCCTTACAAATAAATTTTGCAGCTTACTCAATCAGTGCAAACAAGGGTTGCCTCCTTTGTCTGGCTCAAAGCCAAAGTGTTGCCATAGTGGCGCATTCCTTGATTTCGTCGAGACTAAATTGTCCGCCATTATCGACTCCCCGTCACTATTAAACAAACTCCAGGCTACAGTAGAGGCCTCGGCACATGCGCACTTGCACCCCCTAGCTCAGTCCCCGCCCCCACCCCCCTCTCTCTCTCTCTTGCTCACTGTGCACTTGGCAAAGAGGCAGACACAGGTGCCCACAGACTCGGGCGTACTATAAGCAGAGCGGACTCTGTGTAAAAATGTCCGTGAAAAATCCCCGCGATGTGAAAAATAAATGCCGAGCAGTCTTTTGGTGCCCGGAGCGGAGTCCATGCGGTCGTGCTTTGCGCGCACAGGGCTTGCGGACATCCACTTTTACCGGGCGGACTCTGTGGAGGTCCGCCTGGAGTATGCGGTCTCAAAAAAAAAACCCCGGTCCAAGACAGAGTACTGAACCGAATTGGTATTACCGAGAACCGACCCAACCCTATCTGTGACTAAGCGACCAATGAAATCTTGCCGACTAATGATGTTCCTGATCAGCTAACATTTGGTTAACTGTCAGGGGGCAGGCCCTAGTTGTAGACTGCTTGCTTTTGAATAGACTCAAAATTGAGACTTTAGTGGGCTTCAAATAAACTACAACACGCTGACCAACTACATTCAACAGTAAATTTTTCATGAATTTGCCAGATGGCTAAACTCGAAGGTGAGACAGGAAGCAGTTCATCAAAGAGAAGAGAGGGGTTATGAGCAACAGCAAAAATGTGTACCTCTTGGTCTAGTTTCATAAGGATGTGGCAGCGTCATTTCATAAGCCATAATGTAACTTCTCTTCTTCACTTCCTCTTCGACTCCATTCTCTGTTCACCTCCTCACCTAATTTTTAGTCCTCACGACACTACTCCTCCTCAGCCCCTGGTCCAAGCACCTCGTCCTCTTCCTCTCCCCCACCTCCTCTTCTTCCCTCAGATGACATCCCCTGCCCTCCCCACGTCATGGCCCAGGTCTGGGTTCGCAACGTGCGAGGGATGCAGGACAGCAAGAGCCTGGATGAAATAAGCCAAGCGTGTGGAGGTAAATAGTTGTTTGATTTTGTTTGCTGCAGTTTGACTCATTCCTTATCTCTGTCTTCTTTTCCATTGATAAGAGCACGTAAAGCAACATGTTAACAGAGAAAGTTTTGAAAATTGTAATTATACTGAGTAAGGCTTCAATCATAAATGTTTTACAACTTTGTTCAGCTCATGTTGGTGTATTCTCCACAGGTGGCTCAGGGGCCCGGGGTGGGGGCAGAGGTGGTCAGTCAGAGGGCCGACGGGCCACAATTTCCTCGGCTCTGGAGCTAGAGGGGACGGTTAGCCATGAGGGTGACCTGACTAACTTTATTACCAAGAATCTGGAGCAGAAAATCAAGATGAGCTCCAAGCCCAGTCTGGACTGCAGTGACTGTAAGTACAGTACAGTACAGTACAGTACTAATTTTCAAGAAATTTTATTTAAACAAATAAAGTGATTTTGTTGGTCTTTTATTATTGTAATTCATAACCCAATTAGGAGAAGTTCAACTTAATAATTTGAAGTGAACTCTAGGTATGTGTGCACACAAAGAGGTAGTTTTTTTTTAGTTTTGTTTAGTTTTTTTTGTTTTAGTTTGTCAGAGAAAGTGTGCATAAATTTCATGTGCTGTATATACGTATGTGTTTATCTATGTTGACATGACATGTTTTTTGTTGTGTTGGTTTTGACTAGTGCTGAAGGAACATGTGCGTGCAGTATATGTGCAGATGTAGAGGATGTGTTTAGTGTATAAATGTAGCTTGCTTTCATAACTGCGTTATATTGAGGGTCAGGAGGCTCCACCAGATGAACTGTTTGTATTTTCCTCTGCAGAGGGAGGTGTCAGAAATGGCATATCAGTGGGTTAATAGCATTTTCACAGGCAGCGGTGCTGAAACTGCAGTGCAGGGTGTCTGACTTGCAGACAGATCCACAGCCAGTTTTCCAGTGCCAGTCCCAGTCAGCCGCTGCTCATCATTTATGCATAACTTTGGTCATGTCTAAACCATAAGAAGTAATGGAGAATCAATGCACTATCTTAAGCAAATGAAATGTTGTGTCTGCTTACATGAGTCATCCACCACCCTGCAGTGTTCACAATGCAGCAGCTTTGTTCAGTTAAGCTAGTCTGGGTGAATTGTACCAGATTTAGTGATTTAAAACTGATGTGTCTTATTTTGTAGTTATCAGTTACATTTTTGTTTTATTTCACAACGTATGTTTTTGATCATACAGTAGATTTTAACGTGACGACTGTGGGTATTTGCAGTACTTTTTGCATCAACTCTCTTTTGACGTAACGAAAACTATACAGGTATTAAACTCATATTCATTGCAGTCAAAATCTAAGGTTTCTTCCTTAGAGAGAAGTCTGTTGGTTAGACTGAATGAAAAATGATCACAGTTGTGAACTGGGGTTTTTAATGACAGTGCTAATGTTATACAACCAATAATTTTAACAATAGCACACAGTGAGTATCAGGGTTGGAAAGTATTGGAAATTGTCCACCTGCCACTGTGGCTGTTGGATTCCAAAATCTACCATCCCCTTAATAGACTGCCATTGTTTTTTGGCTGCTGAGTAAAGCAAATCTAGCAGCCACTTTAATATTTTAGCAGCATTTGGCTGGAAGCTGGAGCTAATTTCCCACCCTGGTGGATATAGAACATACATGGTATGAAAACAACCTTCCACTGTCTGCTCAGGCATCTGCTCCACATGAGGGACACAACAAACAAACAGCATCAGAATGTTGCAACTTGTCTGATAGCTATCAGACCATGTTGCTATCTGACAGCTTATCGTTGTACTCAGAATGTCTCTGAGTCTTTCTCTTGTTCTACAGGTTTTAGTTTTGAGGCTAGTTCAGCAAAGGCTGGGTTAAGAACCACTGTTTGTACAATGCTGCATTATAATGATAACTTTTTAAGCAGCTGGTTGTCCTGTGTACTGTGGTACGATTTGAAGGACGTTAAAAGCTCAACTCTTGGTTAGAGAAACCTTCTCTCAAACAAGAAAATCTCAGTTTTGTTCATTTAGTCACAACCAGGCTTATCATTTTTAGAGTTCTCCCTCTCTGAGATTTTTTTAGATGAATAATTAAATTGTGACGAACGCTCACTTTGCCCTGGCTTACTCCATCTTCCTACATGTCCCGGGTGGATTAAATTAGTCTCAGTCTGTGTTTTAGCGAGCAGCAGAGACTCAGCCCCACAGAAATAGAAACAGAGACAGTTTTGGAAAAGGTCACACATATACTGCAATTTCAGAAATTAAATCATCTCTGTAAGTTCAGCAGGTTGACCCAGTCCGGCCTTTCCATTAGCAGTCATCTGTCTTGTCAGATTTTCCAGGAGAGAGACACTGAACCTCCGCCCTTCACTCAGAGAAAAACCCCTCTGGATTCAAGCATCGGCTAAACTGGCCACTCAATTTAAACACAGGAACACAGTCAATATGCCCTCTGTGGCAGCTCATTCCCTCTACCTGCTGATTCAATTAGGATGGATGACTCAGAGTTTGTTTAGACTGCAGGGATTTATAACTGAGGTCCTGCTGCAGCTTGACAGGAGTCATTTTCAGAGGTGGAAACCTTTAAATGGGAATAGGCTAATTCTTCAGTTACTCGTGTGTGTGTGCCATTTTGTCTGTTTTTCTCCTTAAGCAAAACTTGTGTGAGGAGATAATTTTAGCTTGTGCCTACACACATGTTGTGCCTGTTCATGGTTTGCATGTGTTCATGCTTAAATGAGTCATCATGATCATTATTTATTAGTCAGTCAACAGAAAAGAACTCAACAATCTGACAATGAGTTAATCATTTGTCATTAATCAAGCAATAAAATGTAAGCAGTAGCTGGTTCCAGCCTCTCAAATGTGAGGATTTGATGATTTTATCTGTTTAAATCATGACAGATTTGGGTCTTTGAACAAAAACAGGCTCTTCAAGAGAAACCTGTGATAGACATTTTTCATTATTTTACTATTTTTCTAACCAGACAATCAGTGGAAAATAAACTTAAGTTGCAGACCTACTTGTGTATATTATTCATCCAAATTCATGATGATTTCTTGTCAGCTGACTGTTCGGGTCCCATCTACCGAAGCCGTGGGTTGTCACGAAGACCAGCAGACATCCCTCCCATTGATCCTGCTGTCCTATTGGATCTTCAGAGACACACCCAGGAAGTAGCGCACAGTGTAGAGATGATGATGCGGAGTCTTAATGGAACCATCCAGAATGTGAGTCTGAAGCTCAAACTTGAAGGGATAGTGCACCCAAAAATGAAAATTCAGCCATTATCTACTCACCCATATGCCGATGGAGGCCCTGGTGAAGTTTTAGAGTCCTCACATCCCCCTTGCGTAGCTCGGCGGGGGGAGCGGCCAGCACACCTAATGGCAGACGGCGCCCCAGACTAACGTCCAAGAACACAAAATTGAATCCACAAAGTATCTTAATAATTAATCTTAGTATCTTGGTCATCCGTGGTGATCCAAGTGTGCTGCAGCCCCGACATAAAAAGTTGTTTGGAAAAACATCATATGAACTCTGTTTTTAGCCTCACTGTAGCCTGTAGCTCTGACTGCTTCTCTGTGCTCCGCGCTCACGTGTGCGCGCTCAGGGTGATCGGTGATGAACGGTCTCTGAAGAGCGGCAGTCTCGTCAGTACTGATGTCCAGATTCTCAAGTGCAGGCATCACCAATTCCCAGTCTGAGCAGCAAAGACTTTCCTCATACATTGGCATTGCTTTGCATTTGAAACAACTACACCACCAGGTTTCCAGTGCTGGACTCCGGTATTCTGCGGCTGGCTGAGGGTTAGGCTCATGAGCTGCGGCGGCTGCTTTGTCCAGTAGCCTGAGTTCCGTGCGTATACTCGGGCTCAAACAAATACGGCTCAACAAAGAAATGCTGTAACCTCCTCAATTTCAAAGTCTTCAGACATGTTGGGCTGTCCTTTGCTAAAAGACCATAGTGTAAATTATCTTTTAGCTCTGTGGTTACCGTTGTCTCCCCCTGCGGTGCATGTGTCACGTGATGTAAACACGGGTGAGCAAAGCTCATGCTTTCGCTGGTCTGGCGCAGGCACGCACACGTGAGCGCAGAGCATGGAGAAGCAGTCAGAGCTACAGGCTACAGTGAGGCTAAAAACAGAGTTCATATGACGTTTTTCCAAACAACTTTTTATGTCGCGGCTGCAGCACACTTGGATCACTACGGATGACCAGTATGGAGATACTTTGTAGATTCAATTTTGTGTTCTTGGACGTTAGTCTGGGGCGCTGTCTACCATTAAGTGTGCTAGCCGCTCCACCCGCCGATCTCCGCAAGGGATGTGAGCACTCTAAAACTTCACCAGGGCCTCTGTCGGCATATGGGTGAGTAGATAATGGCTGAATTTTCATTTTTGGGTGCACTATCCCTTTAAGCCTCATCATTATGCCTCTGTGCTGGCGATAGTCATGGCCGGAGGCATTACGTTTTTTCTGTCCATCCATCCATCCATCCATCCATCTGTATGTCCATCTGTCAATCTATCCCGTCCATCCCATTCTCATGAATGCAATTAACACTTGGCACAAACGTCCACTTGGACTCAATGATGAACTGATAGGAAATTGGTGGTCGAATGTCAAAGGTCAAGGACCTTGCATCCATCTCATTATTGTGAACACAGTATCTCAGGAACTCCTTGGGATATTGCTTATATATGACAAAGAAAATGTCTGATAGGCTGTAATGATGATGTGATGGCATTTGATATCCAAAAGGTCAAAGTTCAACTTCATTGTGACATCATAATGTTCTGTAGAAACAGTCTTCTGGCTATGACTCAGCATTAAAACTCTGGTCAGATACTGAATTGGTGACTCTAATGTTGGGTGTCCACCTTGAAATTGTGCTGATTGTACAGATCTTCTGTGCTGTCGGGTTAAAGATGTGTGTGAAGCATCCATGTTTTCACAGACATGGATGTAAACTATAAGAGAAACTTGACTCGTGCATGAAGCCATACAACGGCAAGGTGGTAATTCTAGTTTTCTTTTATGCTGTCATGTCATGTCTCTCACTCTCACATACTGTATATCTGTTTGGGTAATTGACATTTGTCTATATGTCTGTTCATCCAGATGACCGCTCTGAGTGTGGGCTACATCCAGACTTACAGAGACTCTGTTGACAGCCTGGGAGAATCTGTGGACATGAGTATAAAGGTAACAATTTATATGCATGCGTGTGTGTGCTCCTTTGACAAAAAAAAGCTGCTCTCTGGGGTTGTTGGTAGTATTTCTAAGAGAATGTAGAGTATTGCAAAACCTATAGAGCAAGGTGAGGGTCCAGCTTTGTAGAAGAATAACCAACCCTATCATTTTGGGTTTTATTCTCATCATGTTCCCATTATTTATCCACATCTGATTTGGATGAGCTGTATATCAAAGCATCAGCTTTTTACTGCCTGCTTTTGATTTTTGCACCCGTAGGGCATGTACACACTGATGGCTCGCTGTGAGGAGTTGGACCGTTCCATGCAGCCCATACACACCCTGGCTGCACAGATCCGTGACATCAAACGCACCCTGGACGCTCTGGAGGCGATCTGCAAGTAACCCCACCTGTCTGGTAGGAATACATACCCCGGCTGCAGAGACCCAACATCAAGCACATCCTGAACGAGGCTGTCTGCAAGTAAACCCATCTTTCTGCAGGTAGCACACACACACTGCAGCGAAGATTAAGTGCACCTCTGGATTCCTGGAACCATTGCTACTAGGCATGCTGGATGATTGCCGCTCATAGTCCCTCCGCTTGTTCATCATTTGAAGATGACCATGTTTGTGTTGTGAGATTTCAACTGAATTGGGCTTGACTTGCTCTTGGGGCTGAGCTTTGTTTCTCGCTCTCTCTTTTTTTTTTTTTTTTTTTTTGGAAGCACTCTCACTTCCTCTAATGAAGTTGTCGTGAAACAAAATCTCACAAAGTAACCCATCTTGGAGACACTTGGCTAAGTGCCCTGAATACACAAACATGTGTACACACAGACATACACAGTACAAAAGGATCCTTGAAGATGTGTGGGTAGATGGCGCCTTTTCCCAGTCTGAGGAAAAACTGCGTGTCATTTCCGTCCAGCCCGCTTTGTTCAGATTGCACTAACCTTTCCTGCTCACATGGGGGCGATGTTTCACTCTCTGTCTCTCTCCCTGCTCATGGAGAGGCCAGTATGAACTGCTCAGACGACAGTGACTCTTGCACAGGAACAGAAAGTCTATTTTTTAATCTTATGCAAAAAAGATCAAAATCTTTCACTGCAGGCGAAACGAGGGGAGGGAAGCATCATGTCTGTATGTCTGTTTGTCTTTATTTTAAATGTTTATTTATTCAGTTCTCTCAGCATGCTTGGTTTTTCAACTACACTGCTACTCTGTGTCACTGGGAACTGACTAGTGCAGCAAGGTTTTTTCCACTGGTGGCCACTGAACAGCTCCATTGGAGCATCTGGATTTTAAGCTCAAATGTTGCTCAAAGGTAGTTGTTGAAGATAATGAAAGAGTTTTACTTCTTCTACTCAGATTCACTCAGACTGGCAACCTTTAAACCAATTTTCTGCTTCTCTAATTTCAAGGTTCAGTTAATAATTATTGAGAAAGATTCTTGGCTGTCGAGTCTTACTACACGGTCTTCAAATACCGGCAATCTTGATTTGATGGTTGGAACAAACCACCAACCAAAAGTGTTGCTTTTTGACAACCTGGTAAGGAGACTTAACAATCAACTATCTTTCTCCAGAACTACACACTGTGCTTTTAAAGCTACCAGCCATGTGTCATTAGGTCTAAAACCTTTCCATCTCTGTGTTAATGCAATCTAGGATGATTGGGAACATGTAAAAATATCTCATGTAGCCCAAACAGTGGCTTGAAATATTTGAAAACCAATGCTAATGAATTTAGCCAACTTAAAGATTTTTCATGAAATTTAAAGTTATTGAAAGTCCTTCAATTTTCAGGCATGAAAGTAGCAAAGAAATGGTTCAGTGTCACTAACTGAATCGTGTTGTTTTAGTTTTGATTCTGGCACTTTAAAGAAATTATACAGTATATGTATTAGAAAAGGTCAGTTTCAAAACACATTTGAATCCATTAAATAGAGGGCAGTTTTCAATTGTATATGAATTAGTTTTAGATTTGGATATAACTGTGAATTTTACTCTTGTCAAATGGTGGAAACCTTCATTTGAAACAAAACTCTGTATTTATTTTGCATTGATTACATTCTTATGTGAGTGTTGAGGGGAAAAATCTTGTAAATGAAATTAAAATCAGTTCTGGTTTGCTTCCGATTGTACTGAACAGTCAAAAAGAAACAACAGTTACATTTGTGTGCAGCATGTCTTTGCTTTTGTTTTCCTCAACACTGAAAAGATTGGACGCTTTGTTTCAACAAAGGAGGATTAAATCTGGATAACATCGCTGGAGTCGGGACACAGCCTTCGCATGTGAACTAACATGGACTCGTATCACATTTAATGGAAGTGAGTATTTATTAATTTACTCGATGATAAAAGCCACTGGAGACCGCAGCGTCTCTTGGCTGTTGCTTTACCATCCTAATGCCATGTGCTCACATGGAGCATTATACTTGATCTAATGAGGAGACTGTGGTATGTTTGTCATTGCACTGGTGAGTAGCCTTGTAGTAGATCATTGTACGCGTACTAGATTTTCATACTATTACTCGTACATGCACCTATTACTGATGTATTTGGGGATAATTCATCTACAAAATAGCAATACTGTGAGAAAATTAGGTACACATTTTAATCTAGGCTCTGCATTGTTGTCTGAACTGTCTACATGCACCTGTTAATGTGTTTTCACCCTCTGTGGGAAAAGATCATGTTATTGGCTTCACAAAAAGCTCTGATCGCATTCTGTGTAAATTCTACTCTTTGTCTCCTCGTCTCTTTCCTCAACCTCGTTGGCAAAAGTTTGTGAAAATTGTTGGGGAAAATATCAAAGGGGAAGGGGAGCATCTTTACAAGCTTACTCTAAAGAATATATTGATCCTGGTTACCATGATTATACTGAAATTGACATGTCCGTGGTTGTAAAGATGTAAATGCTCTTTTGCAGATGAAGATAAATGTCCAGAGAGTGGACATTTGGGAGTCTTAGTAGATTTTCGAGGTGAGAAAGGACCCTTGAGATGGGAGATATGGGAGCAAATGTCATTCTTCATAACATAATTGTATGATTATTGATTTTCTGTTGTACAATCAGATGCACCTGTGTAGATATGATCTCTTTCTGTAACTAAAATGATTTAGATACCCTTCGTCTTGAGTGTATATTTTAATGAAAAATAACAAATAAATTTACATGAGCTGCAAACAAACCTTTCAGTCTTTTTTTCACATTATACTGCCTCAAGGAGCACTGAAGCGTGGGGAAGGAGAAGACATAAACCACACCAATCTACAAAAATATATGCATATATATTCAGGTGTCCTATTATGGACTGAAGAGCTGTTTTCTTATGTGAAGGTATGTCCTTTGAATTAACAGATACTGCATTAATGACAGGCATTGTAACCACAATAATAGTTGAATGAGGTTTAATTGAATGCTGGTGAGACCAGTTGTTATTTTTCACAGCAGATATTTTGACTTGTCACAGCAGGAAGAGCACAGGTGTTACTAATAACATTAACAATGGCTCCGTTTTATTCAAGTGTCCCAATAAGCCGTGACAGTGTGACAATGAGCCAGCATTCACAACACCAGGACCCAGGAACTGAAGCAGCTAAATGGAATTCAGCCATCATTCATTTTATTATTTGCGCCTTTTCCTACTGTGACATTTCAAAAAGGACCATGTTGAATATTGCATGGTTTTGACAGAACTCAGGCAGAGGATGCAGTTCAGCCGATAGGCCTTTAGAAGACAATATTTGTGTTATGAGCCACAGTGTAAAGCCTGGATGTTTTGGACAATATGCAACATTTGAAGGCCAAAGTTGACATATTTTCCGTTTGTCTAAAATTGCATTTAAATATGAAAAACTAATCAGTAAAAACTAAAAGCTCTTGAAATGGATCGATCTAATTCATTTTAAATGTGGTTGTATGAGGTACTTATCTAGAGTCAGTGTATTCTTTTCCTGGTGGTTGGCATGCCCCAGGTTTGGAGAAGCAGACAGTGTACTGCAAGGTTAGATAAGCAATTTACTGTTGTGGACAGAAGCAGCAGCAAAACATTCTAACCACTTCAACAAATATCAACATCAGTTTAAGTGTATATTATATTTAGAACATTTTAACAACTTTACCTTGCCCTCAGACAGCCCTTTCTGACGGGGAACTGAAGCTCTTATATGTGCTTCCTTCAAAGCCACAAAAACAGTAATTTTACCTCGCAGAACAGAGGAGTTGCTGGTCGACCTACCGATCAGTGAGTTTGTGTTATTGTGTGACTTTGGTGAATCTGTACTAACTCTTTAAAACACCAAGGGTCACACAGTTACACTAAATAACTGATTGAGGCAGCGGTAGACCAGCAACGACTGTGTTCTTCAAGGTAATTTTTTTGTCAAAGGAGTCTGGTAGTGTTGAAGACAGCAAAGATGAATACAACAGCTTCAGTTCCCTGTTGGTAAGGGCTGTGAATCTGTAAAAATATACAAAATATAGTGCTCACCGAAACTGATATTAATGGTTTTAGGTGGCTAAAGTGCGATTAGCTGCTGAACTCATCCACAGCAGTACACTGATTAGCTTCCGTGGCGGTACTCCTTCCTGCTTCTCCAAACTGTGCTGACTGCCATCAAGTGTGGGTAATACACTGACTGTGGATAAGTGTGTCATAAAATCCCACTTGGAAAAAATATCAGAACTATCCCTTTTCAGCAGATTAAAGGGCTGGTTCACACAAATTACGTATAAACTTAAGGTCTTCCTTATCTCTCTGGTATTTTCCCAGTTTTTGGTTTAAATATATTTACCTTCAACATTTCTGCTGCCACCCCAATACAATGAAGGTGAATGGATTTTTTTTCTCACAGACTTGAAAAATTACAACATATCTTAACAAAAAAAGATTTTCCCATTACTTTGGATAATCTATAAACCTCACTGTCAACAGTTTTCATTGGCTCTACTTACTACTGAAAAAATAGTTTTATGTTTGTTTTGTTTTCTTTTTTGGGTGAACCGACCCTTTAGCCCAACATATCTGGAATTTAATGGGTACATTAGGCCTTAAAAGTATGAATTAATTTTCATATAACAAAGGACTGACAGGTAAATGTATAAACAAAATGTGCAAATAGAATAAAACCTGAGTGCAGGTTTTACAGACTGCTTTCATGTTTCTGTGTTCACCGTATCGTGACTGTCTGGTTTATTCGACATGACAGTAAGTCTATCTAGTGTGTCACATCTCCTTTCTCTTTAAAGGTTTAAACACAGCTGGTGGAAATTAAAAAAATGGGACAAGTGTTCGTACCACTACTGTCTCTTGGCACATTCAGTGATAGGCTTGGAGTTCCAGCTCTGAACACTGTTTTCTGTTTTTAAATGATACTCTACAAAGCAGCACACCTGCTGCTAGCAGGGATTCAGTGTCTTGCTCAAGGGCACTTGAGAAGGGCTCATATTGCAGTTACAGCCCAGACCTTCCAGGTGAAGGCTGGTTTGTTCACATTTTAAGGTTCGAGGCATAGACATCCAGCCAGCAGCAACAACAGAACAGTCAGGTCTGGGGCACTCAGTGGATTTGTCCCACTGTCTGCAGTCACTTCCAGTAAAGGCGTCCGACTTCCAGTACTAGGTGAACTGCTCTCACTTAGCTCAGTCACAGAGGCACCTGTTGTTGTTGTTGTAGAAGCTATGGTAGATGCAATTGTAGTCTCCATTACATCTCCAGTATTTTCTTTTACGGTAACCCCAACAGAGACTCCGTCTTTGGGGGACTGCTGGTCTGAGACATCCCCATCTGCGGTCTTGTACCACTGGCACTGGAAGTCCTTCTTCCACATCTCAGCTGGGTCTGGTTCAGCTGGTTTAGTGCTTGTGTCTGGCTGATCTGTGGCTTTTGCTGCCTCGGCCTGAGACGTCAGATAGAAAATAATGTTAACAATAGCAAATGTAACTGCTGTAATTTTCGTTGGGAATATCAGTCTGAAAGCTGAAGATTAAACAGCGTGCTTCAAATCAAAAGGAAATAAACTTCTCATAGTGTTCTGTACTTTCAGCAGTATTCATTCTTTATCGTGTTGTATCTTTTATGACAACTGAATATTACCCAGGCACAGATTTCAAAAAAGTGATGAATGTTTGCAGAGAACACAATGTTCCAGCGGATCTTTTTCTAATGTGTCTGCGCTACTGTTTCCCTCTCTGTTCTTTCACTGTCTGAACACAGAAGATCCTCAGGCAACTGGACTCCCTGCTGTTGTCTTGGTTAACTTTATCAGTCGTGACTCAAAACGGGTTGTTCTGTTTCCAACTCTCCACACAGAAAGAACATAAGTTGAGAACTGGTGTCTCTTTTTACACACGTCTTTCACCATGCGAGCACAGGCTTTTGTAAATCAACTCTTCAGTTGCAGAAAAGGGGAAAAGTCGAAGAGGCGAACAGAGCTTTTCTTATGGAGATTTCTTCTTTTCAGCACATTGCATTAGCATCTTATATCTCACCATCATGTGTGTTTGTTAACCTTTCTACAAGCGTGATTTCACAGTGGTTGCCGCACAGTTGGCTCCTCAAATAATGTAGTAATGTTAATGCTACAACACAGTGATACACACTTAGTTGTTTATTACGTCCACCAAATTTCTACCAACGAGATGAGAGTAAATATTAAAAGCACCACAAACTGCAGCTTCAAAAAAATCGACACCACTCTTGAACAATTTCAACGTAAACTGAGCACTATATTCTTAAAGAATTTGGGATTTATTACTGAGCAGTTGTGTAGTAACTTCACGTAGCTTTGTGTAGCTAATTGACTAGAAACTTAAAAAGTTTCTTCTGTCATAAAACTCTTAGGATATCGTTGATGTCTCAGCAACAGTCTGTCAACATCTATTTATGGCTTACTGTAGGAGGGGGCATCAGGCTTATACTTGTGCACAGGATTAATGATGTCTGTGAAACAGTACATAAACAAGGATTTATAAATCCAGCACAAATGAATCTTGAAATCCATTTGAAATTACATTCGCTCACCTTTTCCGTCACCTTCTCCACCACTTCGGATGGGGCTGGGAGGTGAAGATAGGCAGAGCTGTCTGGGTTTTGACGGACGCATCGACCCTTTCCCTGGCACAGAGAGGCTGAGCAGAGTCGAGTCGCCGTGGTTACGTTCATGGAGTAGGGTCCCAGGACCTTACGGACGAACTCTGCCAAGTCCTGACACTCTCTCTGGGAAATAGACAGAGACTCAGTAAATAAACTTTTCATGAGACATGTCATGAAGCACTTTTTATGTTGAAGAAGAAGACGTTTGCCAACACAAAGCAATCTGTCGACATTTCATCAGAGAGATAATAAAAAGTAAAGTGGTTAAACTATGTGTTAATAAACTGAAATATAAGAAAACAAACAATTTAATGATCACTTATATAAACATGCAGATATTATTCATAGGTGTGTGCACTGTATGTGAATGTATAGTCGTGTACCTCCGTCTTAGTCTCACTTCTCTCCCAGATGACAACTCCGGCTGTTCCCATGGCAGCACTCTCTCCTATGGTGCTGACCAGGTCTGCCTGCAAAAAATAAATTATACAAAGCAGCTATAAAAGTCACAGCACAGCATGCTCTTTTCCAGCTGGTCTCTTTGTACTCGTTTGATACAGTGTAAACACCATTACATTTGTCATATCAGGCCTCTGTTTATTTCACCCTAAATCCAACACCTGGTGATAAAAGTGTGAACCAAAAAGACTTTTCGTCTTTCTCATTATTCTCTTTTCCAAACAAACAGGAATAATGAGAGCTATGATACAACATGAACCTGCCTCTGTTTCCTTTGTTCTGCTATATCACTGATATCTCACCTGTGACAGGAAAGTGTTAGTTGAGGCGTAGAAACTCTTGACCAGTGGGAATACAGGAAGATCAAATGCAGTCCCAGTCAGAGATGATACTCGCAGTGCTTCTCTGATTTGACTGGACAAATAAAGCCTGGCTCCAGGGGTCCCACTCTGTAAAACAGAAGACAGGTTGTGCACACTATTAGTTATTGGCATTGTAATAATACTCAGTTTGGTTTACTGTGATGTGCATCTCTGAGCTCACAGAGAGGTTTGTGTACTCTGGTTTTGACAAGAAGAAGTTTTGTAACTTTTTATGAACCCTCCCTGATGAACCAGACATGGCATTTTTT